GCAGAAAGAATATACACTGAATAAAATTTTTTTTTAATTTAAAAAAAGGAACAGTCTAAGGGACCTGTGGGGAAAAACCCCCAAAAGATTTAACATTCATGCAATTGAAGTCCCAAGAAGAGAAGACAGAAGGTGGAGCTGAAAAAATAGTTGAAGAAATAATATCTGAAAATGTCCCAAACTGTGCATAAGATATAAACCTAGCTTCAAGAAGCTGATCAAACTCCAAACAAGATAAAACAAAAGAAATTCATGCCCAGGCACATCATAATCTAACTTTGGAAAACTAAAGACAAAGAAAAATTTTAAAAGCAACTGGAAAAGAAATGACTGATTACCTACAGGGGAACAACTATCTGACAGCAGATTTCTCATTAGAAACCATGGAGGACAGAAACGCTAAAAGAAAAGTGTCGTCAAACAAGAATTCTATACCAAGTGAATATACCTTCAGGAATGGAGGTGAAACCAAGACATTCTCAAATGAAGGAAAACTGAAAGAATTTATCAACAGAAGACTCATCCTAAAAGAATGGCTAAAGGGAGACTGATTGATTGATTTAATTTATTGGGGGTAGCATTGGTTAGTAACATTATATAGGTTTCAAGTGTACATTTCTATAAAACATCGTCTATACATTGCATTGTAAGTGAGTTCTTCAAACAGAAAGGAAATGAACAAAAGGAAAATTAGAACATCAAGAATAAAGGAAAAGGCTGGCCGAGTGGTGCATTGGTTAAGAGTTGGCTTGGGACGCCAGCTCTGAGCAGCAGGGCCCTGGTTCAGATCCCACATGAGGGCCAGTGACACGGCACCCTCTACAGCTAAGATGGTGAATAACAGCTCAACCTGGAGCTGGGCTGCCATGAGCTACCATGAGTGGCTGGCAGACAGCGTGAGCAGTTGGCAGCCCGTGTGAGCTGCAGTGAGCCGCCGTGAGCAACCATCCGATAGCCGGTGAGTGACTGTCTCACCCGGGAAGAGTGCAATGATAATACCAACACGGGCCAGTGAAGCAACGTCTTCCACAACTAGACTGAAGAACAAAAGGACAGCAACTTGTCTGTTCCCCTTCCCCAATTCCCCAACACTGTTCTCCTCCCCCAATTCCCCAATAAAATCTTAAAAAAAAAGAATAAAGGAAGAACAAGAGAGTAAAAATATGGGTAAACATAATAGGCTATCCTCCTCTTAGTTTTGCAAATAATGTTTGATGGTTGAAGCAAATAGTACAACATTGTCTAAAGTAGTTCTCAATTTAAGAACAGAAAATATTTAAGACAATTATTTAATAAAGGTGTAGGGGGGGGTGAGTAAATGAACCTAAATGGTGGTAGGTTTTCTATATTTCACTCTAAGTGGTAAAATGTAGAGAGCAGTAGATTGATAAGTTAAGGATGTAAAGGGTCCCCCTTTTGAAGGTTGCTACCCAAGAGCAATCACTAAAAATTTACACAAAGAGCCACACTCAAAACCACTATAGAAAAATCAACATGGAATTTAAAAAAATGTTCAAGTAATCCACAGGAAGACAGAAGATAAATCAGAGGAACAGAAAAAACTAGAGAACAAATAGAAAATAAACAATAAAATGGCATATTTAAACCAAATAATATCAAAAGTTACATAAAATATAAATGGTTTAAACATGCCAGTTAAAAGAGATAGTAAGAGTAGACTAAAAAAATGACCCAACTGGGCCAGCCAAGTGGCGCGATGGTTAAGAACTGGCTTGGGATGCCAGAGGGCCCCGGTTCGGATCCCACATATGAGGGCCAGTGACACTGCCTTCTATAGCTAAGATGCTGAACAACAGCTCAACCTGGAGCTGGGCAGCCGTGAGTCGCCGGCGACGGCGTAGGCTGCAGCCCCTGTGGCAGTGGGTTGCCATGGGCTACTGTATGTAGCCAGCAGCCAGCATGAGCGGCCAGAAGCCGCAGTGAGTGGCCATCCAGAAGCCAGCGACTGATCTGCCTCGCGCGGGAAGATTGCAATGATGGTGCCAACTTGGGCCAGTGAAGCAACGTCCTCCACAACTAGACTGAAGAACAAAAGGACAGCAACTTGTCTGTTCCCCTTCCCCCAATTCCCCAATACTGTTCCCATCCCCCCAATTCCCCAATAAAAATCTTTAAAAAAATGACCCAACTATATATTATCTACAAAAAATTCATTTCAAATACCATGTATGTAGATTGAAAGTAAAAGGATGGAAAAAATATACCACACAAACATGAATCAAAAGAAAGCCAGAAACTATATTAATATTAGATAGTGCAGACATCAGAGCAAACAAAATTACCGAAGACAAAGAAGAGCATTACATGATAATAAATTTACCAAGAAGATATAACAATCCTAAATATGAATGTGCCTAACAACAGAGCTTCAAAATATATAAGGCAAAACTGATAGAACTCAAAGTAGAAATGGACAAATCCACAAGTACAGCTGGAGACTTCTACAGCTCTCTCTAAACAATTGATAAAACTATGAGGCAGAAAATCATCAAGGATACAGAAGAACACCATCAAACAATAGGACCCAACAACAGCAGAATACACATTCATTTCAAGTGTCCACGAAACATGCACCAAGATAAACCATATTGTGGGGTATAAAACAAAACCTTGACAAATGTAAATGACCTGAAATCATACAGATTATGTTCCCTGATAAAAATGGACTCAAACTAGCAATCAATAACAGAAAGACAGCAGGAAAGTCTCCAAATGCTTGGAAACTAATCAACACACTTCTAAATAGCCCATGGGTCAAAGAGGAAGTCTCAAGGGAAATTTAAAAATATACGAAACTAGATGAAAATAAACATCAAGATCAATGGGATGTAGCTAAAGCAGTGTTTAAAGGAAATTTTATAGCACTAAAATTCTTATATTAGAAAAGAGGAAAAATCTGAAATAACCTAAGTACTCAACCTCAAGAATTTAGAAAAAGAAAAAAATAAACCTAAAACAAGAAGGAATAAAATAATCAAGATCAGAAATCAATGGAATTGAAAAGAGAAAAATAATAGACATGACTTTACTAATTTATGGAACAATTATAGCAACACAATAAATTATGTAATACTAGATTATAAACCGAAGTATAAATATACATGAGTCCATACTGATATAATTATTAAATACGTTTTTAAATGAAGGAAGCATCCAAGGAGAGTCTTACAATTGCTTAAGTTTGGGAAACCATCAGATTATCTAATATAAAGGTCTTGGAACATAAAATTTCAATAAATAATAGCTATGAGAGGTAGGCGTGATAATGCCCATGTTATGATGACAAAACAAATTACCTCAGAGATGAAATAAGCCAGAGCAAAATGGAATCAATCTCTTCTAATACCAAAGCTAGCTTTGTCATACAATATCAGGTTCTCGCTTTTATAACAGAAAAAAATTGCTCCCGTATCCCAGGTGGCCTATCCCTTGCAACTAAAAGACTACTATTCTCACTAAGGCAGCAGGCCTTAAGGTCTCAAGCTTTTGAGTCACTTTATGTTCTAGGACCAGCTGTCCTACATGGAAAAGTAGCAAGGTTTCTTTCTCACCATTATGTAGTCAAAGCCTTCTTTGGATAGATGGGAAATTTGCTACGCTCCTGTTTATGTGCATTTTATTCTGTAAGTTTTTCTGTATGACACAGACACATAGAAACGTATAAATACATTCTGATATTCTACTGAGCCCAGAAAGATCCCTGGTAAAGTACAGAAATGAAAACTGACCTCTGAAAATAGGAGAAATGCTCTTTCTGACTGACACTCTAAAGCAATCTGCCCCCCACACACATACACCTTGTGTGGGGGCAGGTAGAACCTGTTATTTGCTTCTAACCAACAGAATATGGCAAACGTGATGGGATGTCACTCCCATGATTATATTATGTAAGATTTAGTCGTAGCAGACTGGAGCAAAACATTCTCCCCTTGCTGGCTTTGAAAAAGTAAGCTGCCATGTTTTGAGAGGAGCTATGGAGAAGGCCACATGGCAAGGAACTACAAGCAGCCTCTAGGAGTGGAGGGTGGTCCTCCACCAAAGCCAGAAAAAAACGAACAACATCAAAAAACAGGGACCACAGTCCTATAGCTGCAAGGAGATGAATTCTGTCAACAACTTGAATGAGCTTGGAAGCGAATTCTTCCCTAGTCAAACTTCCAGATGAGAACACAGCCCAGCCAGTACACTGACTGCAGCCTTGAAAGACCTTGAAAAGAGAACCGAGTCACACCGTGCCCAAACTCCTGACCCACAGAAACTGAGATAATACTCTTGTGCTGCTTTAAGCCACTAGTTTTGTAATTTGTAATGCAGCAAGAGTTAACTACTACACTCTCTTCCTTTTCAGCCAAGGAAGTATACTCATAGAAGTGAAGATACACAGGTCAATTTCTCATCATTTAATTATCACAGAGGAAAGTCTGTAGGATCCACTAAATCATTACCAAGTACAAGTGCAACTCTGGCACTTTGCTGCGGCCAGAAGATGACCAGCCTCACCAGGAGTGACACATTCCTCTTGGGCTGGCAGTGCTTTGAAGGCTGTGGGGAACCATCACAGCCCAGATCTCCAACCTGGTCCTTCCCTTCTCCGTTCACAGCATCCTCATCTCTCTCTTCTTGCACTGCCTCCCACCTACCAACTTAGCTCTTTATAATCATAGGACAGATCTTTGTGTCCTTCCCAATTCCCCAAGTCTGGTTCCCTTTGACTTCTTGGCTAAGGGAAAGTTTTATATTCTAAAGCTAGGCACTGAAGTGTCATCGCCAAAATGAAATCACAGTGTGAAGATTACTGTTTTCCCAAAGGGAAAAGAAAATGGAATCTTACTTTAAAAAATAAACTAATTAGAAAATAAGCCTATCCATTGGCACATAGTTTATTCCTCACATCTCCAAGATCTGGGTATTGTAGGTATGTAGGCAGAAGGTAACTGTCTATTTTTTTTCAAGTCTAAAAATTGAATATCTGATCTCACCTCAGCAGATTTCTTGTGTTCATTTTGAATTTTTGACTTGCTCCTATACATTGAGCCTGAGGTAAAGGAAGTGGAAGGACCTGCAAAAGATAATTAGAAAAAAATACTGAGACTTATTACCTGCTAATATAACTAAATGTCATCCAAGAGAATATGAAAGATATGATGGAGAAGAACACAGTGATCTCATACCACTGAAGAAAGTTAAATTACAACCAAGAAAGCCTCATAATGGAGTTTAATGACATTTATAGGTGACCCCTCTGCGTGTAAAAGCTTCAACAATGCTAATCCTGAGGAGCTTTGATTTGGTATTATCATACCTCATAACATTTTGGAATAATACGATTGGAAAAAAAGTATCTGGAAAAGCAACTAGAAAACTAAAAATGTAGAACAAGTAATCTGTGTATTCTTCAACATGTCCCCAAATGCTATGGTTAATAAGGTTGTTGCCTTATACAAATGATGATTCATCCAAACATTTAGTACCTGAGCTACAATTAGAATTGTAGGGCCTACAATTTATGCTCTCATACTTTTCGTCCTTTCTAGAAAAGCAGTGTTAAGTCATTATTAGGTTTGGCATTTGTTGTTTAAGTAAATGAAAAGTGAAAAACAAAATGCTATATGCCACATAAAACCAACTCTCCCACCTAGCTTGCCTATTTCTAATGAAATTTAAGTGAATAAGAAAAATGGTACCCCAAGCTTTCATTCCTAAATACATTATTTTTTAACCATTGAAGGAAGCACGAAACAGCGTGTCTTCAAGTCAAAGAAATCCTCAAGGAATATAGATACAGAGGTTACCAGCTGTTGGCTGGTTCTACTCACTCTCATCTGAACTTTCACTGCTGCTGAGATTTCTATGGCGTTTCATTCTGGAACATCCTGGGAAAGAGAACAACACTGAATGAAATAGTCAACACGCTCGCACACCCATCCCAGAGGACAGTCAACACTTTCCTACTTCTTGCTGATCCCAAGAAGCAGCAGCAAGCCAGTCATACAAATCAAATGATTTCTGTCAAGAATATTCTCAAATGGCCTAGAGTGATAGGAGAAGAGTACTATCAAATTCTCCAATACAGAGTGTGTCAAAGACTGGACAAGGCTACATATTAGCCTTATGAAGTAGCCCATGCAACAGAGGATGAAGGGTACAGGATTGGCTGCAGCCTCAAATATGGCCATATGACTAATGTACACCCAAACAAAGGAGGGCAGCCATGGGGCTGTCACCAGCTTGGGATCCCCAACAAGGGAAGAGCAGGAAAGAAAAAAGCAGCAGCAAAGGCAGAGCTGTCGAGGGCCAAGGTTGAAAGGCAAGAGACATGGTTGGCTGAAGAAAGAACAAGTGAGGCATGTCCCACCTTTAAGAGCAGAACCGCACTGTTTTTCTGTCTGCCCTTTTGTCCCTTTATCCCTGTACCCATTCCCAAAACAACTAGCCAAATTTAAAATTATACCTATATATATACACTGCAAGGAATGCTATAGAAAGCTCCTGTATTGTCAAAATACATAATGCTTTTGACTAAAACTTCAAATGGTTCAAAGTGTCCTTCCTTGTGTGTGTGAGGCCAGTGGCAGATAGAGGCACCCCCTTTCTGGGAACACACCAGCACTAGAGTGTAGGAAAAAAGGAAGACACAGTTAGATACTTCAAGTCACAAAGGAAGTTCTGAAAATAATAAACTAGAAAAGACAGTGATACAGTCAGTGACTGACATTCTGTTCTGTGCCACAGCAAACAAAATGCTACTAGGGGCAGTCATGAATCCCAAGGGATAAAGGTCAGGGCTATAGCCTTTAAGCCACTCAATCTTCAAAGGAGATAGAAATCAGAGTACAAGGCCACTGTGAACTATCAGGAGTAACAGAAACAAAATTGTATGTTAAAAAGCTAAGAGAAGGGCCGGCTGAGTGGCTCAGTTGGTTAAGAGCTCGCTCGAGTGTGAGCTCTGAGCAACAGTGGTTCAATTCCCGCGTCCTCCCCCCAAAAAAAAGCAAAAAAAAAAAGCTAAGAGAGTTCCACTCCTGGTATGGCAATGTGAAGAGCTGCATGGAAACAAAAAAAGCATTTAAAATCTCTGGAAATGGTCCTAAGAGCATACAGCAAATTAAGAAGTACTTATTAAAGGAAATATACTAAAACTAAGTAAGTAAAGTAAGAATCTGTATTATTTGGACTTAGACTCACTCCGTCCATCCCTCGCTCCCGGCACAGATGTCACACCAGACTGGTGCCATGGAGAACACAGAGCTACCTCTCTCCCAGCTCCCAGCTGCAAGGCTTTATTCTTGTTAGAGGCCAGACATCAGCATTTCTCATCCTGCCCCCAGCTACCTGTTGCTGAGGCTAAGTTCCACACAAGTGTGGCTGAGAGGTGAGGGGCTCTCTTCTCCCTACTCCTGGGATGGAAGCTATGCTTTGGGTGTGGTGCCACCAAGTACACTGAGGCCCTAATTGCCCTGGCCCCAGCTCATACAATGGGGGTTCTACATCAGGAGAGGAAAACCCAGGAGACCTGGGGCTGTTACTCAGAGGGAAACACATCACTGTCCCCACCACCTGTGCTAGAGCTGTGGCCCAGAGATTTTCCCTAGCAGGAGAAGCAGGCTATACAATAGGGGACTCCAAATCTCCCCTCAATGGAACTGACTTCATTTGCAACAGAGCGTGGAGAAGTTGTTCATGCCTAGGTTGGCTAGCAGGCTGGAGAGAACCAGGGAGACAGCTGGAAGGAACAATTCTAGGGTCAAAAGAAATTTCAAATATTGATTTCAGGAACTATCCCTTCAAAGGAGCCCTAATTTGATTGGACCAGTTTGTGGAGCAATTTATGCCCCAGGGCATGATTAAAAGCAACAGAGCAACCAGCCAGCAATTAGTGGAGATTAACAGCTAGCTGGGTGTGGTCAGGGAAAGAGACAGAGCCCTCCCAAAACCACTAGCATCCCAGGGTGACTCTGGGCATACAAAAGGCTGCACTCCTAAAAAGCAGCATCAAGACTTCACACTGCAGGGAGAAGGGTGGGAGTGTGGGGGTAAATAGACCAAAAAAAATAATCCAGTCAGTCACTAAAGTAAACAAATAAATAGCAATAAAGAGCCTGGGGTGGGGATGCCAGTACCCAGGGTTGCTACATTTTATTATCTAAAATGTTCAGTTTCCAACAAAAAACTTATGAGACATGCAAAGAAACAGGAAAGTATGACCTATACACTAGCAAAAAAATGACAAACTGCCTGTGGGAACAACCAGATGTCAGATTTAATATGCACACTTTAAATTAGCCAGATAAATATATTCAGAGAACTAAAGAAAACCATGAATAAAGAGGTAAAGAGTAAAAAAAAATCCACTGTGTTCCTATATATTAACAATGAAATTTCAGAAATAGAAATGAAAAAAAAATTCCTTTTGCAATTGCAACAAAAATAATAAAATACCTAGGAATATACTTAACAAAGGATGTGAAGGACCTGTACACTGAAACACTGTAACACATTATTAAAATAAATTGAAGACGACACAAAGGAATGGAAAGATATTCCGTGTTCATGGATCGGAAGAATCAACATAGTTAAAATGGCCATATTACCCAAAGCAACAGACAGAGTTAATGCAATCCCCATCAAAATCCCAATGGCAATTTTAAAAATAAATAGAACAAAAAAATAATCATATTTGTATGGAACCACAAAAGACCCTGAATAGCAAAAGCAATCCTAAGAAAAAAGAACAAGGCCAGGGGTATCACACTCCCTGACTTCAATTTATACTATAAAGTGACAATAATCAAAACAGCATAGTATTGGCAGAAAAAGACACACAAACCAATGGAATAGAATCGAGAACCCAGAAATAAACCCACATATAGTATATGGGCAACTAATTTTCAACAAAAGAGCCAAAAACATACAATGGATAAAAGAAAGCCTCTTTAATAAATGGTGCTGGAAAAACTGGAAAGCCACATGCAAAAGAATGAAACTAGATTGCTATTTGACCCCATACCCAAAAATTAACTCAAAATGGATCAAAGACCTAAATATAAGACCTGAAACAAGAAAATACATTGAAGACATAGGTACTACACTTATGGACCTTGGTCTCACAGAGGATTTTATGAATCTGACCTCAAAGGCAAGGGAAGTAAAAGCAAAAATAAATGAATGGGACTGTATCAAATTAAAAAGCTTCTGCACAGCAAAAGAAACCATCAATAAAACAAAAAGGCAAGCAACCAAATGGGAGAAGACATCTGCAGACACCTCCAATAAGGGGTTAATATCCAAAATATATAAACAACACATACAACTCAACAACAAAAAATCCCCAAAACAATCCATTTAAAAAATGGGAAGAGGACATGAACAGACACTTCTCCCAAGAAGACAGAAATGGCCAACAGATAATATGAAAAATGCCCAACTTCACTAGCTGTTAGGGAAATGCAAACCAAAACCACAATGAGATACCACCTCATATCTGTTAGAATGGCTATTATCAACAAGATGAGTAATATTGGGTTGTCGGAAAAGTCATGACGCATTTTTGCAATGAAAAACAGAGACAAAATACGCCATGACTTTTCCAACAACCCGATATTATAGAATTGTATACACTTGAAACCTATATAATTTTATTAACCAATGTCACCCCAATAAATTTAATAAAATTTTAAAACGAAGGTAAAAATATTAATAAAGAGGTAGAAAGTATAAAAAAGAACCAAATGGTAATTCTGGCATTGAAAATTACAATAATTAAATGAAAAATTCACTAAAGAGGTTCAATAGTAGATTTTAACTGGCAGAAGCATTAGTGAACTTGAAATAAATCAATATAGAGCATGCAAGCAAAAGAACACAGAGGAAAAAGATGAAGAAGAAAAAGAACAAAGTTTTACAGAAATGTGGGACACCATTAAGTGCATCAACATATACAAGTATGTAATGGGAGTACCAGAAGGAAAGGAGAGAAAGGAACAGGAAAAAAATATTAGAAAAAAAATAGTGGATGAAAACTCCCCAAATTTACTGAAAAACATTAATTTGTACATCTGGGAAGCTTGACAAACTCCAAGTAGTTTATACCACCACCATCACCACCTGTGAACAGATCCACAGATACATTATGTTAAAACTGCTGAAAGCCAGAGGAGAAAATCTTGAAAGTAGCAAGAGAAAAATGACTCCTTACTTATAATGGAACCCCAATAAGATTACCAGCTAACTTCTCATCAGAAACAATGGAAATCAAAAGGCAGTGAGATAAAATATTCAAAGTACTCTGTAGCACATAGTATTCACTATTAATATATTCATACTAAGAATAATGGAATTGTATGCTTTAAATGGGTGAACTGTATGGTATGTAAATTATATCTCGATAAACTATTAAAAAACTAACAGGATTAGCAAAAGTATCAAAATCATTCATCAAAGTTCTATTTGTCCTACTGTTAATGTCAATCAAATATTTCTTTTTTAAAAATTGAGATATGGGCCAGCCAAGTGGCACGATGGTTAAGAACTGGCTTGGGACGCCAGAGGTCCCTGGTTCAGATCCCACATATGAGGGCCAGTGACACTGCCCTCCACAGCTAAGATGCTGAACAACAGCTCAACCTGGAGCTGGGCTGCCCTGAGTCACCGGGGACTGCGTAGGCTGCAGCCCCTGTGGCAGTGGGTTGCCATGGGCTACCGTATGTAGCCAGCAGCCAGCGTGAGCGGCCAGCAGCCGCAGTGAGCGGCCCTCCAGAAGCCGGCGACCGATCTGCCTCGCCCAGGAAGAGCGCAATGATGGTGCCAACTTGGGCCAGTGAAGCAACATCCACCACAACTAGACTGAAGAACAAAACTACAGCAACTTGTCTGT